TAAAAGTCAGATTTTTTCAGATTTTTGTAGCAAGAACTTCAATGAGAAATGGCAGTGATTTTGTTTGATTTGGGTCAATTGACCCAGTCAGTCTTTCTAGTGTTAAAGCTGGTGTTAGGCTGCCTTAGTTGGCTTTTTTGTGCTTGGGTTTGTATTTATAAGTTATTGTCTGTGTGATGGGTGAATTTGAATCAGCTGCGGTACTTTTATGCAAATTGTATTGTTTGCCAGCGTACAGCTATCATTTTTATGATTATAGAAAGTCATATAATATGGAAAGTTATTATAAACATTGTTTGTTGTAGTATATACTGTATTTCAGTTATATTTCACTTACATAAGAAAACATAAAGTTGCTGCTGAAATGATACAATTGTGAACTATTTTCCCCACCAGTGTTATTATACGATAATGCAAATGAGTTTTAAAAACGACCGGAAACCCTTCATTTTATTCGATTACGTCTTGGTGGAAAATGATCTGTATCACTCAGAATGACGCTGAAAGTTATTTCTAACAGTGTTATGTCACGGAGCGAGGGCGTCAATAACTGAACGATGATGCTTCTGTCGGTTTAATAATTGGCGTCATAAATCAAAGCAGCTACTAGAAAGAGGAAACGTCAATGTGGGTTTGAGCGGCCGCCATCCGCTCGTCGGAGCGATGCGTAAGGAGACGGCGTCGGTATTGGCTAAATGAGAGATGGGCTGAATCTGTAACGTAGAAGGAAGGAGACTGAGGCCCCTTCCTGTGGGTACTGAAGGACATATCTATCAAAATGTAAAATAGATGCAGGAAGCCTAAAGAGTGTAACACTGTAAATTGTCCTCTAGATTTTTCAATAATGCTTCAAAACCTCATTGAATGTGAAGAAAAAGGACTCAAGGATAAAACAGGATCAAACAAATAATTGAATAATGTGACACTGCACCAGCAAAGCACCAGGATCGCATGCGCTTTAAATTCACATTTTTAATCATACTCATGAGAATAGGCGCCTGTTATACTCCAGGTTACGGTGTGTTTCATGCGTCCATGGAAGCGCCTTTCCTTCATCAAGGTCGACGGCAACGAGTTTATTCGCAGCAGTGAGCTTATAAGCAGGAGGCCGAGGCCCCGACGTGTCCAAAGCTGAGCCGGGTCTGCACCTCGTGATGAGCACCGATAAAGGCACGGCCCAGTCTGATCTCCTGCATGCAGGAAGCACAAGAGAGATGATTAAAAAAAGTCAGCTGGGACAGATCCAGTATCACAGTCTGAAGGAGGCCCGTATTCCTGAAGGAAATGGTCCTTGATATCTCCAGCGCGAGAGGCGGACGGTCTCACATCAGTCATTCATCATCGCGAATATCTGCACGCGAAGCCCTGTCTCAGCCCGCCAGGGAGCACCGCGGTCTCCCCTCTTCACTGTGGAGTTGATATCTTTATTTCCGCTGCCCTTCATTTCTAGTCATACAGCAAACACTCGAGGATTATTGGCAAACAACATTCACACAAAAAAAACTTACTAAAGAAGAGAATGTAGCACATATTGTGAAAATGGATAATGAGCATTTAAATGAAACTGGAGTGTTTCCCAGCTTCAGATCATAACACCCCGAAGAGGCTCTTCAGCCTTTGCCTATAATGCTGCAAAACGTTATTATATTAATGACATAATAATCATGAGTGGACATGAGCAATGAGGCTAATGATGGGTACAAGCTATTCCAGGGATTGGTGAGGCTGGGAATACTGGAGCACAAAAAAGAGTGCAGAATTCCCAGGGCATCGTCTCAATGGATCTCTGCTGTCTTATATGTACGGCACAGGGCAGGCCCCCTGCTCCACCCAGATGACATTTCTTTCAGGCAGATGCCAGTCTTCACATGTGCGGCCTTCCAGCGCCGTGAAGCCTGCCGTGTGACGTACGTGTCATGTGCCTCATCAGCCACTGTATCTTAAGCTAAAGGAAGGCAGCACTCAGCTGCTGATCGTCTCTGTGTGTGAATGTGCACACAGACCTTTCCGTTAATGAAGTGGACACACCTCACTGTCCTGGAGAGCATATGAACTGCAGAGACCTGCTGTGTGTGCTGATGTGTGCTATGTGGTCTGCATGTGGTCTGCCCTGATGTGTGCTATGTGGTCTGCATGTGGTCTGCCCTGATGTGTGCTATGTGGTCTGCCCTGTTTGGGGATGTCTTATAGGATGGTCCTGACCGTATATTTCCAGTAGCATCTTGTGAGGACCATGAATACTTTGCAGAAACAGTGCATTGCTACAGGGAAACCTGTAGGCCAAAGCCTCGAGACCTGAAGGTCGCTGGTCTGTGCTCTTGCATCTATGTTCTTTCATTGTTTAACATGACAGACTCAGCAGCACAAATGGGTCCATTTAGACAGAAGCATGAGGTTGCTAATGAAATGTAATGGCAGCGTCAGGGTGCCCTGCTAGATACGGCTGAGTGGTTTTACTCCACTTATGCCTTCTGAGAGATGATACTCTACCTCCTGCTGAAGTCCACATGCTCTGTACTTTAAGGGCATTTTCGGCAGGATCTAACAGCACTTTTAACTGGGAATTTCGTCTGCTGCTTTTTAATCACTGTGATAAAGGCATGAGACTGCCCTTTACTGGAAGCATGGGGGGGTGGCTGAACCTTTTATTGCCAAGTGGAGCTACTTCAGTCGAGTGCGTTTTGTATGTGCCCCACCCACACCCCATTAGCCATGCCTATGCCCCGCCCATACCTCATTAGCCACACCCATGTCCCACCCACACCCCATTAGCCATGCCTTTGCCCCGCCCAGACCTCATTAGCCACACCCATGTCCCACCCACACCCTATTAGCTACACCCATGCCCCACCCACACCCCATTAGCCATGCCTATGCCCCGCCCATACCTCATTAGTCACACCCATGTACCACCCACACCCTATTAGCTACACCCATGCCCCACCCACACTGATTTAGCCATGCCTATGCCCCGCCCACACACATTTAGCCACACCCATGCCCCACCCACACTCCTATAGGCATGCCTATGCCCCGCCCACACTTATTTAGCCATGCCTATGCCCCGTCCACACCCATGCAGCCACACCATACCTCACCGACACTCCACTAGTCACGCCCTTGCCACACCACACCTGTGCAGCCACACCCATGCCCCCACAGCCCTGTAGCCCCACCCATGCCCCACCCACACCCCATTAGCCACACCCATGCCCACCCACACTCTTATAGCCATGCCTATGCCCCGCCCACACCCCTGTAGTCACACCCATGCAGCCACATCATACCTCACCCACACTCCACTAGTCACACCCACGCCGCACCACACCTGTGCAGCCACACCCATGGCCACCCCCAGCCCCGTAGCCCCACCCATGCCCCACCCACACCCCATTAGCCCCACCCATGCCCCACCCACACTCCTTTATCCATGCCTATGCCCCGCCCACACCCCTGTAGTCACACCCATGCCCCAGTCACACTGCTGCATCATATCTCTTGATTAGCCCAAGGCACCTTCTCTGAGTGTACCCTCTTTGTGCAACACTGATCCCGCTCCTGGCTGAACCTTTGACTCTTTGTGCTTTTCACTGACTTGTGCTGATTTCTGAATCCTAGCCTCTTCCCTCACCCTGTTTGCTGAACGTGATTTGGACTTAGTCTATATATTGCACTGGATTATTTTTTGAACCCGTCTTGTGTGTTGACTCCAATTCTTGGATTACATGTCGCTTTCTGTCATTCCTGGATGTCAATCATTATACCCTCTTGCACTGATCTCAGAACTATTTCATTGGACATTTACTATATTGCTTTTATATATTGTATATTGTATAAATATTTTTTCCAAAACATTAACAGCATAAAATGTAACTTTACATGAGGAAGGTACTTTAAGTAAATACTTATTAAACTTGTTGACTTGGTGATATTCCCAAAATATCATTTGAACGTGGTTGTAAGACCCCAGTTATCTGCAGAACTAAACATGTAGATATTAAACATATAAACAAACCACCCAGCTTAAATAATTCATTCCAATCCATTACTCTTTCACCAGTATAAAAATGCACCTACAAGTTCTTTTGGAAATTTGAGATGATTTGAAAAACCCTCCATCCTGTTTAGACGGAGTGTATCCCAGGTAAGATAGCTGACTGGCACGAGCTTGTGTAGATTTACAAGCAATTTAGTACATGCTGCATTATTTGCTTTGTGTTTTGACCAAGGCTGCGCTGTTCTAGTGACTTAATATCAGCTCTGACACACAATGTCAGGTCCCATTGGACTTCTGGGAAATATAGTCCGGTACCATCTAATATGGGATAATGCTTAATCTCCTCCCTGTACAACCATGTTTGCCTCAGATGTGTGAAATGTGCTATAAAGTTCTGTGTAACATTTTCTGCAGTGTTACTGGGAAAGAAATATAGGTTTACAAGACACATTAATTATTAATAAGGATTGGAATGTGACTGGATTAAACTCAGACTGCAATCATTTTCCAAAATATTACTTTTCTACCTTCTACTTGCATTTCATTTGAATGTCTGACTGGCTGTATATTATAAAGGGTTTTGTACAAACACAT